AACAAAATATTTTATAATAAATTTAACAAGCAGCCAAAACACTGGACCTCTAAAAACTATGAAAAATTATTAAAAGAAATGAAAGAAGATCTAAACAAAAGGAAAAGAACCTAATGGTCATGGTTTGAAAGACTTAATATTGTTAAAATGACAATATTGCTTAAAGATATCTATAAATTCATTGTTTGCTCTATAAAACTCCCATATCAAACAATACTGAGTAGTAAAATGAAAAATAAAATTGAAAAATTCATGCTTTCTTGATTTCAAAACTTACTGCAAAGACAAAGCAATCAAACTAGTAGGTACTGGCCCCAAACCAGACATATTGACAAAAATAATAGAATACAGAGCTCAGAAATAAACCTTTTCATATATGGTCAATTGATTTTTGACAAGTGTATCATTCAACGGGAAGAATGACAACCTTTCAACAAATGGTGCTGGGAAAACTGGATATCCACATTTAGAAGAGTAAAGTTGGAACCTTACCTTGTATCACTTAGAAAAATTAGATTAAAATGGATCAAAGACCTAAACCATAAAACTTTTTGAACAAAATATGGGCAGAAAACTTCATGACATTGGATTTGGTAAGGATTTATTAGATGTGATACCAAATTAGCATAGTTAATGAAAGAAAAAATAGATAAGTTGGACTTCAACAAAATTTTGAAAGGTCCTGTGCGTCAAAGAACTATCAACAGCAGCAACCAATGGAATGGGGAAAAATATTTGCCAATTATAAATGTGATAAGGAATTAATACACAGAATATAATTGTGTAAAGAGCTCCTACAACTCAACAGCAACCCTTAAAAAATAAACCAGAGGCCAGCGCTGTGGCGCAGCAGGTTAACTCCCTGGCCTGAAGTGCTGGCATCCCATATGGGCGCCAGTTCAAGTCCCAGCTGCTCCATTTCCAATCCAGCTCTCTGCTATGGCCTGGGAAAGCAGTGGAAGATGCACTCGCATGGGAGACCCAGAAGAAGCTCCTGGCTCCTGACTTTGCATCAGTGCAGCTCCAGCTGTGGCAGCCAGTTGGGGAGTGAACCATCTCTTTCTCTCTCTCTCTCTCTCTCTCTCTCTCTCTCTCTCTCTCTGTGTGTGTGTGTGTGTGTGTGTGTGTAACTTTGACTTTCAAATAATTAAATAAACATTTTTAAAACAAAAAAAAATTGTAAATGGTCAAAGGACTTGAACAGACTTTTCTGAGTGAAGATAATGCAAGTTCCCAGGAGCTGGAAGGAGCAGAGAATGGGGAGTTACTGTTGATGGATCAGAATTTCTGTTTGGGATGATGAAGTTTTGGAAATGGATAACCATGATGGTTATACAACAATGTAAAGTACTTGATGGCACTGAATCATACACTTAAAGTTGTTAAAATACTACATTTTGTGCTATTTATGTTTCACAATTGCAAAAAAATTAAAAACAAAAACAATATATTTCCTGTACCTTTCCACTTATAAAAGTCCTAAAATCAATCACTAACCCAGTTGCAATGAGCACCTTTAGCATCCAAACTGTGGCTTCTAAGTATCATTTCCCACAAAAGGAGTCAGGGCTTCTTGCAGTGATGGCTGGTTTCAGGACTGAAACAGAAAGTATACAATATGAACCTGGAACATAATGACCTACTAGAGAGTGAAGGAAGCTATCAAATACCATGAAAAATGTGTGAAAAGGATTAGGAGCCAACCTGAAAAGGCTCCTACTAGCTAAAACAGGACAATATGAGAGTCCATAAGAATGTGTTTGAAACATTCAATATTTTAAATTTAAAATTTCAAAATATTCCTCAAAAGGACAAACAAACAAGAAAAACCCATCAGTACTTTGGAGAATCTTAGGGAACAATTTCATTATTTTGAACACTAATGAATAAAAATAAAAGGTAGGAATTTGATTTTATCCTATACTTCAGGATGATCAGGATTTAAACTATCCTGTAGGTAACATGTGTTGAAAGGAAGATTCTGTCTATAGAAATATTCCATTTAATCAATGAAGAAGGAAGGAAGGGGAGATAGAGGAAAAAAGAACCAACGAAAGAGAATCAAAGACAGAGACAGCATGAGCTCAGCCAAAGAAAATCTGAATATAGAAGTATATTTTTGTGACTTCAGTTCTTTTTTAAAGACTTTCCCTTTTTTAATTAACTAATTAGTTTTGAAAGGCATAGAGACAGAAGGAGAGAGAGAGAGAAAGAGAGAGATCTTCCATCTACAGGTTCACCCTCCAAATGCCCACAACATCAGGGGCTGAGCCAGGCAGAAGTCAGGAGCCTGGAACTCACTCTGGGTCTCCCACAGAGTGGGATCTAAGTGTCTGAGCCATAACCTGCTTCTCCCCAGGGTGCACATTAGAAGGAAGTTAGATCAGAAGTGGAGCTGGGACCGAAACCCAAGGACTTTAATACTGGAGTTGGGCGTCTCCAATAGTGTCTCAACAGCTGAACCAAACTTCTGCCCCTTGTGACTCTGTTTCTTAAATGAAAACCCTAAAGCACAAATCTTAGGGGAGTTAGCTGCTAAATTTGAGTACATTAAAGACATTTTCAACAGTGGGTGTCATGGGTGTAATGGATGCACTTGGAGATGAGGGCAGATTAGAAGATGTTTAAGATATTTACACTTGCTCTAAGGTTAACATGAAAGTAATGCTCCCGCCGGCGCCGTGGCTCAATAGGCTAATCCTCCACCTTGCGGCGCCGGCACACCGGGTTCTAGTCCCGGTCGGGGCGCCGGATTCTGTCCCGGTTGCCCCTCTTCCAGGCCAGCTCTCTGCTGTGGCCAGGGAGTGCAGTGGAGGATGGCCCAGGTGCTTGGGCCCTGCACCCCATGGGAGACCAGGAAAAGCACCTGGATCCTGGCTCCTGCCATCGGATCAGCGCGGTGCGCCGGCTGCAGCGGCGGCCATTGGAGGGTGAACCAACGGCAAAGGAAGATCTTTCTCTCTCTGTCTCTCTCTCTCACTGTCCACTCTGCCTGTCAAAAAAAAAAAAAAAAAAAGAAAGAAAGTAATGCTCCCACACAGAAAGACTGTCTGCAAACCTTCCAGGGAGGCAGATCTGAAAGCTAACAAGTGTATGTGGCTCAGTTTTACTATAATTTAAAGACATGCAAATTGAAGTAGATTTGCAAATAGAAGAAAGGTGGATAATACCTAGTGCTGATCAAACTCTGGGGGAAATAGGAATCCTGACTCCTACTAAGACCTATCCTGGTGCAGCCATTTGGGAGAGCAATCTAGCAAATCAGCACTCACACTTTGGGGTTTGAAACCTCAGACAAATTCTCACGTAAATCAAATCACCACTTTTCATCCATCTTCATTGCAACATTGTTCAGGATAGCAAGAAATTGGTGATAATCTAGATGACCTTACTAAGAAAATGTGTAAGGTGATAGAAGACCACACAGGTCAGAAAATAATGATGGAATTTGCATTTTGCCATGTGGACTGCTCACACAATGTTCTGTTAAAAATGAAAGAAGTAGAATAAGCTTTCTATACCAATAAGAGCCATTTAAAAAATCCCCCATTTGTGCTTATTAAACACAAGCACACAGTTTCAGACTTCTTTTCAAGGAGATAGATGACGACGATGATGATGATAATGACAGATGATACAGATGGACAGATGATACACAAGTATGTGGACTGTGACTGCATATGGCTTGATCTCACGGTTACCACTCACATGGTTCTCTATGTGAATCTTGCCCTCTGGGACATGATTCTGGAACATGACATGAATGGTGCCCCCTAGAGTGTGCAAAAGAGCATCCTTGAATATGTAGGATACAGATTCATAGATTCCATACATTAAATAGATGCCTATGGCGCCAGCAAGCAGGGAAGTGGGCATGGGTTACTGGAGGAAGGGGAACATGGAGTAAAATAACATGGAAGAGGGTCCTTGCACAAATGGAGGGTGGTGTATGACTTGAAGGAAGAAACTCAGTGAGATCATGAGAGCTATCCTGAGAGCTATGGAACATCCTAGATGTGTGTGAAGCAGGAAAGATTTGCATGGGAACAGATGCGAAGGCAGCAGCTAGGACACCATCCTCCAGAGCAACCCATGCTAGGTCTCCACATGTGCATGGGTTAGTGTAGCAAAGACTCCTGGAACCAAGTGCACATGCCGAACTCCCCAGAAAGCCCAGCCCTGCCTCCGTCGACTCTTGCCTGACCCTCAGGCACCCAGGGACTTACCAGAAAAAAGGTCCACTTAAAAGTGCTGTGGACAGCGCCAGCACATCTTCTGGATATGGGATGTGAGCACGCATAGCACTGATGCCACTGACTGCTTCCCCCACGCCCCGTGTTCACACCACAACCACAGCCCTGGGAGCACAGAGCCAAATCCTCCACGCTGATACATGGGGGTTCACTTTTTTGCCAGAATTTTTTTCTTTAGCCAAGTCCTCCCTTCTCACAGATAGCCGCCAAACATTACATAGGAATTTATTCTCCTCCGTCTTTTGCTAAATCCTCATCTCAGGTATTTACTGGTTCTGTGATCTGGGGGACAATCCCTGTGCTGAAAACACCTGGCCAAGACGTTGAACATCTCTGAGCCTCTCCAATGCCAACACTCTGGGGCCTGTGAGGAACCCTGGTTTCCCTGGTGTGGTGAGCAACGAGTGTTTAATGCATCTGGTGTGTGTGGCAACAAGGGCATAGGTTTTGGATGAGGTTTGGGTTGGAATCCTGAATCTTGGTTTCTCTGTAAAAACTGGAGGTCACTAAGTTCCTTTGCTTTGAATGCAAAGCAAAGGCTTGTGAAAACACTCAGCACAAGGCACTTGGAAAACAGTCAACAGAAGCTGGCTCTTCCGCACCCTCCTTCCTTTCTGTTTAAGAAAACAAATTTCACAAACATTTCGCACTGGAAATTTCAGATGGTCATGATCCAATCTTCCCTTCTCAGGAATCTAGGAACAAGCTCAAATATATAGGAACTTATGAAAAAATAGAAGCTGTTAATAAAGGACTGGGTTTATGTGTTTATTTTATTTTGAATTAATTTTTGATAGGGGTGGGTAGGGAGAAGTACAAGATCAAATACGTTTTACAGCATTACCTCCCAAGAATAACTTATTCTGGACTCAAGATGAAAAGGATAACGAGCGTGTTCTTTTCATGAATCTGGCTGTCCTGTTCAGCTCCTTAGTCCTACACATGTGGAGTTTTTACCCTCGTACTTGCCTATCATTGGCCAATTCTGATAGGAACAGATTCCTACTACACAGGGTCAGGAAGAAAAACCAGGCAAGGAAAGAATACCCCCATCCTCACCACACCTCTAATCAGCTGTCTTTGTTGCTGGAAGCATATTGTAAGTCAGTGACCGCCAGCCCTGGCTTCCTGAGGCCACAAGAATTAACTAATTTTGATTAAATATTTTCTTAACAAAATATAACATCCAATGAAAGCCAAGCTGTGGTGAAAGTGGCATTCTCGTGCATGACTGACTGTAATTAGAACAAATCTTTTGAAAAGCAGTTTGGCAGTAAGCACCAAACCCCTAAATATTTGTATCTTTTACCTGGGAATTCTTTTCCTGGGAACCTATTATACGGCAGGTGTGGGGAGTCTAATTAGGGGAACAGAGACATGCTCAGAGATACTTATTGTGTTATTTTACAGTAGTCAAACAATATAGGAATGACCTGATAAACCTGAGTGGTTACATAAACTATGCTACATCCACCAGCTCAATGGATTTTTTTACAAATAGTCTGCCCAAACCTGAGTATAAAACCATATATGCAACATTATCAAAAAGGCTATATTTTTACATCATAAGCAATATATAAAATCTTCATAATTCAAAAGGTCTGAAAGGAAACACAGCAAAACATGGTAGTGATGGGTTTTTGCTCACAGAGACTTGAGTGACTTTTCTTCCTTTTTATCCATGTTACTTTTAGGTTGATCCTAGGGATAATAGTATATAACGTTTCTAGTCAGCAAATAATAATGGCAATAGTAAACATTTTACAAGGAAGTAAATGCACATGGAGACGTCATATGGAATTTTCTTGGTTTGGAAGATGGCCCAGATTAGAGTAAGTCAGGTAAAAGAGACAATACGTTGTCTCAATGCCAAAGAAAGGATGGGCTTGGCTGGTGAGGTGCCGACTTTCTACTCTTCTCCGAGCGCCTGCTGGTTCCCTCCAGGATTTCTGCTAGGCCTGGAGACCCAGGGTTACTGTGCCCAGGGGCACTGGACCCCCATGCTGGTGCATTCACTGCCATGCATTCATTCTAAAGGCCACAGTATTACAAATGTGAGTGGAAATCCGAAATAGTTAGCATTTATTAAGCACCGCGTATGCACAGACCCTGTCTTGGTGCTTTTTATACCTGCACTGCGCCTTTCCCAGGCTTGCAAAAGTTCTTAGCAAAAAGAACTATTGTCTCCCTCTCTCTCCCCCTCCCCCGCTCCTTCCAGCCCCCACTCACCCTCCTCCTACCCACACAGAGTGCCTTCTGGGAGGATAATTGATTTGGATGAATGGAAAAATGGCCAGATTGGGTGCCCTTTGTTGGTGGGACGGCCGGCCTGGCTGCCTGAGAGCTGACTGGAGAAGCACCTTCAGCTGGTCTGTCGGCACAGGGAAGGTTCTAGAAACAGCACACCAGAAACTCCCACAGGCCTTCTCCCTGTGATGTGGTTTATTTGCTTTACAGACTTCAGGCATATTTGCTGACGTCAGCAGCCCATCAAAGTTTAAAATCATAACAGCGAAGAGAAACACAGTCCCTTTCTGCCAGGCAGTCCTGTTCTGCCAACTTCTGTGTTCTTCTTTAAGCTAATAAACATCCAACAGCCTATCCTGCCCACCCCGCAGGGTCGGGGGAGAAAGCACAATAATTTCAAAACCACCAGGTCAGCTCATCGCCAGCATAAACCATCAGGTAAGCAGCATTTGTCACACTCTACTGGGGATTGTACCTCTGCCTCAAAAATGAAAGCTCGCATTGGGCTCTGTGTCTCTGGGATCAAATGACTGTCCCGGGCCAGGGGCTTTCTTTTGGTCCCTGTCTCACTTTCATCACGCTCAAAAAACCAAATACATCGATATTTTCTGCTCCAGACCAAACTAAAAAACTGTAATTATGCCAGGTAATGTTTTTGGAAAGCAGCAATTAAGAGAACAGCCTTTTCATTCCCATTTTAGTTGGCAGTCAGAACACTTTTCCAGGTGTCGTGACACCAGGGCAGCGGTGCTGGCGGGGCTGGTGGGGGCCGGAGAAGGTCAGCAGGGCAAAGCTCCCAGCAACAAGCAGAGAAAGTCTGCAAGGGAAGAGACTTCTCTCTACAACGAGACCTCTGAAGCGATCTTCCTGTGCCGGGCTGAAACCGGAGCCACAGGTGACACCAGGCTCCTGCACCAGCCGGCACCACACACACCTCATTGTTAATTCCTCCTCCGGAGAGATTAGATCCCACACGCACACAAGTCCTGAGCTCCAGAGGGAAATGGGCCAGCAGGCTCCTTCCATGGGGCCAACAACTAGCTACATCTGATAAGTTTTCATTGAAATCCTTGGAACAATTAACACTGAGTTCCTACCAGCTATGACCAGCTACTGAGAGAGTGCCCCTTGCATTTCCTGGCGCGTGCACAGATGTGTACCAGACGAGTGATTCGAGGCCTTAGCTCACTTTTATATGCTTTTATCCATGGTTACACGCTGTTGTCGATCTCCTGGTTCTCCCAAGGTGTACTGTGAAACTGTTCTATTTTATTTTCACACCTTATCTAGCCAGCCCTGATATTTACACTATCTCAAGGTTAAACAAGAGATCAGTCTCTGACTACAGACAGAGAAGTGAGGTTTGTGTTTGGCTAAGAAGCTGTTGAGGTTGTGGTTGGTTTTAATCGTACAGTTCACTTTAAAAGCTGACCACTGACAAAGAGCTTTGCTTTCCACTCTTACACTACAGTGCTTACAAAACAGCAAATGAAGCTGTGCATAATGTGAACTCTGCAATTTTTTTCTGAAATAGTGATTAAGTCAGAATTAAAGGGGCACACACCTGTCTTCGTAGGGAGGGACCCCAAAGGTCCCCGATTAAACTTTAACCAGGGATTATGCTTGCCAGGATTGTATCTCTCAAAAGGGTTGGATTTGGCTTTTGTATTAATAAAAGGTTATTTGGGGGAAAGGGTCCCGCTCTAACATATATAGTATTTACTAAGGTGGAGGAAGGCTTCCACTGCCATACGGCTTAGCTTTTGAAAGAAAATAAAAGGCAAATGAGTTAGTAGATGGGTAATCCCCAAATGTGCAGAAATGTAAACAGCCAAGATCTGGGTGCCTATGGATTGCAACAAAGATGTAAGTAAGGCTGAGACCAACACCAGTGCGTCCTCTTCGGCTAGTTTTAACACGTTTACAGTCACAATTAACATTCAGGGAATTTCCTTCTCATCCAAGTGTTTCGTGTAAGAGCACCTCAAGCCACAAACCAAAGTTCTAGCTGCCATCAGTGCTTCCCGTACAGAAAAGTGATGAAATCTCTCTAATACTTTTTTTGCTTTTGTGAAAATGGGCTCGGACCACGTCAGTTTCCTCGCGGCGCTGGGTTTCCAGTACAGGAGGTTCTCACCTCCACCTCCCACCCACTCCTTCCCTACCAAGAGCTTGGATTGGAGATCCAGACTCCTCGTCCTCACGCCCCCCACCCCCACACTGACCCCGGGCGCCAGAGAAGCGCCCCTGCCAGGCAGGCGTCCCCAGCCCTCCCCCGCCCAGTAGGACCGGGGCAGCTCCCGGCTCACCCCAGCCGGCTTTCCGTCCCCGAGCCGGCCCGGCCGGTGCACGCTGCAAGGAAGGGAGCAGCGTCCCTGCCCGCCCGCCGCCCTTGTTCTCTCACACGAGGGATTCGCACACCGGCACCGAGTCCGAGTCCTGGCTGTGCATCGAGCTCAGCCCGGTGTCCGAGTCCTCGTCGTTGCCTGGACAACTCTTGGCCATCCCGCGGGCCTGGTCCACCCACACCTCGGCGCAGGCCTGAGGCTGGGGGGGTTCCCGCGCGGGTGCGCCCGAGCCGGGAGCCCCGCACGGCGCCACCGCCAGCTCCAATGTGTGCAAAGTCTGGAGAAGGCCCTGGAGCTCACGCTCCTTGCTGTCCCACTGCTGCTGGCTGTAATCCAAGTCCGACTTGACGGTCTCCAGGTCCGTATTGAGCCGCAGCCCGATGTACAGGCTGGTGCTGAGCTGCGTCCTGACCCGCTCCTGCTCGAGCAGCAGCTCGCCGTCCGGGCCGCTGGGGGCCTCCGGGGGCTCCTCCCGCGCCGCCAGCTCCTCCTGGCGCCGCTGCATCCACCGCTGGTTCAGCTCCTCCTGGATCTCGGCGGAGAGGCGCTCCAGCAACTCCTCCTGCTGGGCCCGCTGCTCCTGCAGCTGCAGCAGGTCGTCGCAACGCCGGGCCAGCTCCTCGAGCGCCGCCGTCTGCGCCTCGCCATCCAGGGCCGCCGCCCCTGCCGCAGCCTCCTGCGCCGCCGCCACCTCCTCGGGTTCCCCTCCCGGGGTGGTCCCTTCGAGTTCGATGCCGGCCCCCACCAAGTAGGTGTCCTGCACGTAGTTGACCCCGTGCCGCCGCATGCGGTCCAGGTGCACCTTGGCCTCGTAGCGGTCGATCTGGCGATCCAGCTCCCGCAGCCTCTGCACCTGCTGGCGGATAGTGTGGTCCTGGGAGAGCACCAGGTGCACCAGCGTCTCCATGCGCTCCACCGACGCGCTCTCGTAGGCCCGCGGTGACGACGAGCAGGACGAGGCGGTGGACGACGAAGTGGAAGAACAGGACGACGGCGGCTGCTGTTGGCGCCGCCGGTTGAGCTTGGCCAGTTTGCGGAAGGCCTTGCGCACCACCCGCCGCTGCTTCTCCTGGGTCATGGCGAGGCTGGGCCGCGCCGGAGCCCCCCGGGCCGAGCAGGGTCGCTCCCGACTGAGCACGACGCGCGCCTCGGCGCTGCGGGGCCCGGCATTGGGCAGCGACGCGTCGCTGCGCACCAGCACGAAGCGCACGTTTTCTTGCTCGTCGCCCCAGGCGGCCCAGAGGCGCAAGATGCGTGTCTTGTTGGGCAGGATGCGCTCAAAGCCGCGCCACTTCTCCACGATGCAGTAGCTCTGCGGGGGCCCGCACAGCATGCCCTGCGGCAGCGCCTCGTCGTCGTCCTCGTCGTCCTCGTCCTGGGGTTCAGGCAGCTCCCCCGCGCCTGGCGGGGTGCTGGCCGTCCCGCGCCGCTGGCTCCGACGCTGCCTCCGTCGCCGCCGGCAGCCGTCCTCCAACAGCACCCGCACCACGTCCGAGCAAGTGGTGCGGCGGGAGAGGCCGGACACCAGCTTCTCCTCCTGGCAGATCCACACAGATATCTTCTTCTCCGAAGGATCCATGGTGCAAGCCGGACGCAGATGGCAGGTCCGGCCGGGTCCTGCTGGGGCGCCAGGAGTAGCGCGGCAGCTCCCGGGTTGGCGAAGAGCCGGTGGCTCGCGCCTCCGGCGGCCCCGGTCTTCCCCTGAGCAGCGCACCGAAGGCAGGCGCCGGCACTGGCTGCAGCGGCTGAGGCTGCGCTCAGCCCAGACGGCGGGCGCTCCCCAAGGCAGGGCGCCCGCACTCGGGCTCCTGCCGCTCTGGCTCTGCCCAAGGTGCCCGGGGCCTCCGGGTTTTGCTCCTCCCCACGTGGCTCCACCTCTTCCCGCCCCCAGCGCCCAGAGCTGCGGCCCCGAGCGCGGGAGGCGCGGCGCCCAGACCCGCCCCTTTCAGCCTGGTAGTGCGCGTCGCGGTCATCCGGAGTCTTGGCCCCTTCCCCTACAAGCGTCCGATTCTCTTTTCCCTAGCCGGCGCGAGGGAGGCCTCGGGGCCCTCGGCTGCGAGACCCATAGCCCGCACCTCGGCAGGGCTCAGCTCTGCGGCTCCCTCGGCTCACTTGCTCCTCTCCACGCATCCAGAGCCATCTGGACGCATCTTTCCCGGCGCCCCGCGACGCGGTCCTTCACCCTCAAGAGAGCGCCGTCTGGGGAGTGCACTAGGCACGAGCGCTCTAATCGCTCTGCGTGGCCAGCCAGGAGCTGTGAGCACTGCCTCCAGCCGCAGGTCTCCCAGTCTTTCTCCACAGGAAGCAGTCTTGGCATATTTAAGAGCAAGCGGGCAAGTGTAGGTATGGGAAGGTCTAGGCTGGAGGGGCCCGCAGAACTACAGCTGCGGGCTCCACGGCCCGTCTGTCAGTCTTCGAGACAGGGAACTCCAGATTTCAGTGGAGTTCGCTGTCAGGGTCCAGCCCCAAGAAACGAGCTTTTTTTAAGGGAAACCGGGGTCATCACCGTGACAGTGTCTGGGATTTCCTAGTATCCAGACGTGGTCAGGAGACCAAGTTTCAAAGCAAGTGAATTTGCATTCTTTGCTGCTGGTGAGGGTGGTCCCTTGTGTGCATGGCTTGCCCTGAGCTGGCCCTTGCTAGCACAGGTCTGATAAGCTCACCGCCATGCTTCAACACATGGGTGGTTCCCCACAGCGGCTGCTTTTCCCTTTTTTAAAAGATTTATTTACTTGAAAGGCAGAGTTACCGAAAGGGAGAGGCAGAAGAGTGATCTTCCTCCACTGGTTCACTCCTCAAATGGCCACAACAGCCAAGGCTGGGCCATGCTGGGTCTCTTGCGTCGGTGCAGGGGCCCAAGCACCTGGGCTATGTTCAGCTGCTTTCCCAGGCACAATAGCAGGAAGCTGGATCAGAAGCGGAGCAATGGGTACTTGAACCAGTGCCCATATGGGATGCTGGCCAGGCAATGGGCTGCTTAGCCTGATGCACCACAGTGCTGACCCCTCCCCATAGCTTCTTGGCTAAAGCACTTCTGTTGACTGTCTCAGTAAGTACAAGTATAGGGTAAGAGGACCTCCCACTGTGTTCTAGATGTGTGCTAAGGATGTGGTAATGAACAGATCACCAGTGCTGGTGTACAAGGAGCTCACCATGGGGGTGGGGGGGCGAGGGGGTTGGGGGAGTGAACAGCTGAATAAATATGCCCAAGGCAGTGCCTCCCCACTCTCATAAGAGAGAGCAGGTGGCACCAGAGAACTTCCTGAATGCTGGAGCAACATCCAGCCCCACCTTGGAGTCAGGGCAGGCTTCCCACTGGAGGAAGCACCTTAAACAAGACCCAAAGACCATTTGAGTCAACTAAAGGGAAAACAGATGGAGAGTAGGGGGTGGGAGGGAGTATTTCAAGCTGTAGGAATCCATGTGCAAAGTCAGGGGACTGGGAGAGCATGGTACGGACTGAGGCTGCAAGGAGTTTCAGTGAGAGGAGTGTCTAAAAATAAGGTTGGGTGGTTGAACAAGAACCAGACCAGGAAAACCCTTTAAACCCATGCTTATTTATTTGGATTTGTCCCAAGGACATTGAGAAGCTAGAGTGCAGATTCAGAGGTCAGACTGAGAAAAATCTCAGTTCACTACTTACTACTAATGACCTTAAGACAAGCATTTTGTCTCTCTGAGCCTCAGTTTTCTCATCAGCAAAGTAGTGATATTGGAAATACTTGGCTACTTGACTGTGTGAAAATGCCCAGGTGATAAGGGAGAGGAGAAGGCCCTGGGGAACATTGCTGGATACTGGCATGTTCACCAAAGCAGTTTTATTAAACGATTAGAAACCTGAGAGGTCTTTCTTTCAAAGCAGAGACAGAGTCAGAGAGTATATGCATGCTCCCATCTGCTGGTTCCCAAATGCCCATAACAGCCAGCTCAAACCCAGGAGCCCAGGAACTCAATCTGTCATGGGGCAAGAACAGTGTTGGTTCTTGTCCCATGCTGAAGAAACGAGAGTGAGCAAAGCCCAAGTTCTACTGCCGCCAGGGAGCCTCCTGTTGCAGCAGTCAGGATGGGGCGCCTCAAGTGAGCAGCTGCCAAGGCGGGCGTTTGCTTCCTCACTTTTTTTTTTTTTTTTTGACAGGCAGAGTGGACAGTGAGAGAGACAGACAAAGGTCTTCCTTTGCCGTTGGTTCACCCTCCAATGGCCGCTGCGGCTGGCGCGCTGCGGCCGGCGCATCGAGCTGATCCGAAGCCAGGAGCCAGGTGCTTCTCCAGGTCTCCCATGCGGGTGCAGGGCCCAAGCACCTGGGCCATCCTCCACTGCACTCCCGGGCCACAGCAGAGAGCTGGCCTGGAAGAGGGGCAACCGGGACAGAATCCAGCGCCCCGCTTCCTCACTCTTGCAGGACCTTACCTGACCCCTCGCAAATCCTGGTCTCCCATGCAGGTGGCAGGGGCCAAGCTGCTTGAGCCATCACTGCTGCAGGAGTCTGCAGTTCCCACGTTTTTCCCTCTGCTGGATTCGTGTCTCATGCTCATGAAAAATGAAGAGCAGGGACAAGGAGGGGTGTGTAAAGCAGAAGAAGTTTATTTAAAAAAACAAAAGTGAAGAAAAAAATCTCAACAGTACTAAGAGGGACCCCTAAAAAAGGCAAAAAGGTAAAGAGGGGGAGGAAACTCCCAGCAGCACTTAGAGGGGTCCCTAAAGACGGGAGCCAACTGCAAGCCCGATAGTCTAGGGTTTTATAGGCTGTGAAAGGGGGCATTCTCATGATTGATCTGGGAAAGGGATTGTTTTCATTGGTTAAATGGATGACAGTTCCAATCGAGGCTCAACAAAAAACACATGAAACTCTCTCCCAAAACGAACAGAATTCTCATTACCTAGAGGGGCTACAACAGCACAAGAAAAACCTTGACTACAAGGACTCACACACGACACCAACATTACTCACAGAAGCTGGAATTTTCTCATCTCCAGATAGTGTGACCCCCCCGCCCACCTGCCACCATCCACCTCCCCAGGAGTCTATCATCACCACTGCCTTCCAGGGTCTCTCACTGGTGGGAAGCTGGAATCAGGAGCTAGGGAGCTGGAAGTCTAACCCAGGCACTTTAACATGGGATGTGGTGGCTTCTGCTTTTAAGATTTATTTATTAGGCAGAATTACAGAGAGATCTTCTACCTGGTGGTTCACTTCCCAAAATGACTGCTGGGCCAGGACAAAGCCAGGAGCCTGGAACTCCATCTAATTCTCCCCATGTGGGTGCAGGAGCCCAAGCACTTGGACCATCTTCCACTGCTTTCCCAGGACCGTCAACCATCTGAAGTGGAACAGCCGGGACTGGAACACTCATATGGGATGCTGGCATCACAGGTGGTGGCTCACCCCACTGTGCCACAACATCGGCCCAGCTAGCATCTTAAGTGCAAAGCCAAACATTCACCTCCTGGCTTTTTACCTCTATGTAATCAATTTCCACAAACTTAGTGGCTTAAAACAATACCCATGTTTTCCATCTCTGCTCCTAGAGACCTCTCTCGGGTCCAGGGAAAACCCTCTGTGCCCACTGTAGAGCCAGCAAAGGCAGGTGAACTCCACCCAGACCTCCTTTACTTCTAATCTCTGACATCCACCCCTGGTACTGCTGGAGAAAATGCTCTGCTTATAAAGGACTTGCTTAGCTACGATGCCTGCATCATTTCTCTATCAAGTGATTAGCAGTAACTTCAACACATCTGCAAAATGCTTTTTTCTCTGTAGTATAGCACAACCACCAAAGGGAACTGGAGACCATGGGGCCAGCTCAGAATGCTGCCTCCCCAGGGAATAATGTGATCAGATTTTCATTTTTCAAAGTTCACTCTTTTTGCATGGGAGAGGATATGGAGGGGATGAGGGGATAAGCACGGAGGCCTTTTAGAAAACTGTCAGATTTGCTCAGGAAGAGGTGGTGGCCTGCACTGAGAAGAATGGTGGAGAGAGGACTGAACAGAATGAAGAGCTGTCAAGGAGATGGCAGGGGCAGGACTTGGTGAGAGACCGAATGGGGATTCCGTCTCCCAGCGCAGTATCAGAGGTTTCTTACAAGCTGGCCCAGCTACATAGAACAACCCCCAAAACTAGTTGGAATAGTTGCAATAGAGCCCCTCAAACTGGGTCTGTTTGCCTGACGCACAGAAAGCCAATCCACTGCCTTTGGAGTGGTGGAAGACAGGAAGTATTTACTGCCGAGTGCAGAGCAAAGAGCCCCGCCCAAGGGCTTAGGGGTGAAAGCTCTTATGGGTTGAGGTTGGGATAAGAAGTGTGTGTTCAGCATGTGTCCAGGTTCAGGTTGCTTGGCAGTGCTCATGGGTGGGTGATTCTGTGTTCTGTAGGGAATTTTGATGGTGACCAAGCGGGCTTCAGTCTGGGGCTACACACAGGTGGTAGTTACATTCTGCCCTGGAATTTAAATTCCCCCAAAAAGAAACCCCTGAGAGAAAACCAACTATCTCAGGTGTTCTCTATTGGGGAAGCAAATGACCTCCTGAGTCCGATGATTAGAACCTTGTAGGGCCGGCTGTACCACTCCCTCAATTCAATGAGTTAATTTTAGTAAGTGGTCGATTTGTTATTTAAAAAATAAAAAAAAGGCAGGGCAAGGGCACTTAGAGCTATGGGAAGGAAGCTTGGAGACCAGGGCCTGACGGTATCCAGCCCACGGCTGGCTTCACATTCTACTGTCCCAGCCCTCCCTCACATGCTGGACTAGCCCTTCCACCTTTCCCTCTTACACAGGGCTGTTGGAGCTCTGTAATCAGGTGCCATCCCTAATGGATGTGAATCTCCACAAGGGGAGACATCATA